CACCTCTTTCCATTTTTGGAAATGCTCCCTTATATACACTTACTTCTATATATGACATGAATAACCAGTTGGAAGCTTAAATGTCTCACTAGTGGCTTTCTCAGCCTTTCTAACATTCCTTCTGCCATTTCTTTCTTTTGAACGAAGATTTCAATGAGGTAGGTTGTGTCTTTAGTCTGCTTGAAATTTCATATTTGTTTAGACCCAACTAAAGCTTAGTTACTAAGTTTGATAAATTATAGTAGAACTCTATGGTCTTGATAGAGTAATTTATGATTTTTTAGTTATTCAAATATACATATAAAACCTAAAAAAAATATTTTGTTTCATATCCTCCACGTGCAAAATTTTTAAAGGCTTAGCAACCTACGTCAAGCAGCAACCAAGTACAAAGGTCGTAACTAGAAGAGATAATTATTTACTTTACTTCTTTATTTACTGTTTTATGTTTCAGGAAAAATAAGTTTAAGAACTTATTTCTAAATATCAATAATCTGTATGCATATATAATGTATAATAATTGAAATGTGACTGTATTTCACAAAAACTAAAACATAGCCAAGACAAGTTACTTTGTACAGACCAAAGGTCACCTCTGTATTATTTGATATGGTAACATGAGTGGTAACATGAGCTCCATCATTGTAATTTCTGTATTTTTAGTCAGGCATGGGTGAAAGGTCAATATAATAAAAATAATAAATATATATAAATGTATAATGTTATGAGATTTAAGCTATTTCATCTAAACATTTATGTTTTTGTGTTATAATTTGTGTTCATTCTAGAATGAAAGAGGCATAATTTATGTTTATTTCCTAATTTTATATGGTGCTTGCGAGATCGGTCAAACCTGCTGAACCTGTACAGAGATTAATTACTGAAAATAACAGATAAAAATATAGTTTTTAAGAAATGTTTGATAACTATTTGGACATTACAAAGGTTTCACATATGAAATTTCAAAAGTTTCTGATGCAGAAAAGTATTTTTAATCTTAAAATGAAAATTACTTTGCATGATAGATAGGCAAGATGTGAAAAAAAAGGCATGAAAGAAACATTGCTTTAT